TTCATGTTTTTTTAATAGATAAACATTAAATTAAATATAAATACATCTATCTTTTCAATATTTTTAATTTCAAAAATGTATTATTTAACTAAAAATTAATGTAGTGAAATTATAGGTCTCTATAAAAATAAACAATTCTTATTGAAAATTTCAAAACTTTTTAAAATTCATAAAACAATTAGAATAAATTTGCATAAAACGAATATTTTTTCTCATATACCAGCTCAAAAACCATTTTTAAATGATTAACAAAAAGAAAATAATCTAAAATAGTATATCGAAAGAAAAGATTGAATTGTTTAAAAATGAAAGACTATTATATGGAGTAATAAAAGTAGATTTACAATATTCAAAAATAATAATCTTGATCATATTTGGTGAACTTCTGATATAAGATATAATATTAAAAATATGGTTCCAACAGTAAAATTTGAAGGTGGAAAAATAATGATATAGTGATGTTTTTCAGATAAAGGATTATGTTCATTAGTAAAAGTAAATAATAAATTAAATAGATTGGATTATATTAAAATACTTGAAAGGTATTTATTATTTTTAATTAATAATAATTTTAATTATAAGAGAGATTTGTTTCAAAATAATAATGTTTCAATTCATATTGCTAAAGATGTTCAACAATGGATTTTAGAAAATAAAATTAGAATTTTATCTAACTGGTCAAGTTAATCTTCTGATTTAAATTCAATTGAACATTTGTGATCTGAATTGGAAAGAAAAATAAGAAATAGATTAACATATATTAATTCTAATTAATTTTATAATATATTATAATAAAGTAATTATTTTACTTTAAAAATATTTTATTTAATATTATTTAATATTTTTAAATTTGAAAACAAAATTCTTAAAATACTTAAAAACTAAAGTCAAAACAATAATAATATTCTATTATTTAACTGAATTAAAAAATATTATAATTACATATATTAAAATTTGATTGGAAATTTTGTATTAAAAATTAAGCTTTTAATAAAAATTATTAATATATTATCATACTTTAAATATATAATAAGCTATTTCAAATTATGTATAAATATAATAAATTTAAAAAAAATTATGAAAATAATATAAATTTATATTTTTAAAAAAAAACAAATAATTTTTTTATTTTTAATATTAATAAATATTATGATTATTGTCAAACAAAACTTTATAATTATAATATTTGTTAATATTTTAACAAATATTTCAAATATATTATTTGATTTTAATAATTTTATACTTTATAAATCTGTTTATAGAAATTAATAAATTTTAAAATATATTATTTTTATGGAGTAAAAAAGAATTCAATTAGTTATCATAATTATAAATTATAATAGAATAATACTTTGCATTTCAATATTTTTAATTAAAAATTTAATAAAAATGTTTTATATATTTATATATCTAATAATATTTTTGAAAATTAATATATGAGAAATTTAAAAAATATAAATGATTATTTAAAAATAAATTCTATTTATTTTTTAATAGATCAAATAAAAAAATTTTCAATAAAAAAAACAAAATCTATTGGAAAAACCAAAACCATAGCAAATAAATCTATTGTTTTATATTACTTATATAAAATAGATTGAAATCAAATTTTTAATTTTTAAAAATTTTAAAAATTTAAAAATAAGGATTTTTATTTAATTTTAGATTTATTGAATAATATTATATTTTTAATATGTGGACATACAGCATATATTGTTCTATATATTTTACCAATTTATTAGATTCTAATTATAATTATTATTTTCAATATTATAAATTATTAATTAAAAAATTATTGATATTTTTTAATTCTCAATTAACTCTTGAAAAAAACAATTATAAAAAATGATAATAATGATAATAAAATAAATAATAATATTGAAAAATAAGGAAAAAATCAAGAATAAAAAAATATTTAAAAAGTTTAATTGAAATAAAACAATCTCGATAATAAATTAACAATAGTCATTAATAAATTTAATTCATTAATAAAATGAAGAACTATCATTATTTAATTTTAAAAGTTTTCTATTGATTTATCAAAAAATATAAATTAAAATAATAATGAAAAATCCTTATTTTCTAAAAGAAGAAATTTTTATATTTTATTAATTCAATTAAAAAAATAATTTATTTTTAATTTATTCTTTTTTAAAAAATTACAAAAAGGTATTAAATGCAAAATATTTATTAAACTTTGGTTTATTGTCATTATATTAATAATTTTTAGCTTACAGAATAAATAAATTAATTGTAACTTTCAATTAATACATATTGGCACCAAGTAGGTGTTTACATATTATTGAATGACTAATGTCTATTCAAAATGTGCTAATACATTACTGATAAGCCAAAGAGTTTGAAGTTAACTCGGGAATTTCCAATATTTTGCGAAGATTTTGACTAGATTAATGCAAACAGTGACATATTTTGCATTGCGATAAAATGCGTGTGGGATTTACTTAATATAGTAAACGATCTATTCTAATTAGAGGTAAGCACGTATCTTTTTAAACTAGCGAGATTTGGATAAACTTATACTATATATGATTCGGAACGAAAATTCTCTTTGCAATCTGCATACATTATGATGCTTATTTACAGCCATTAGACAATGTGATTACGTATATTGAATCCGCAACTGCAGTAACAATAATTTATAATACATGGTGCAAACGAATAATAAACGTTTTTTTTTTTTTTTTGTTTCCTGAGAAATAATGAAATGTCATCGACGCTCTGGCTTTATTAGAAAATATCGTTATATTCAGTTAGCCATCGCGGTAACATGTTTTTTGTTAGAAGTTGCGAGAATCATCGTTTGGGGTGTGCTTGCTCACGAAGGGGTAAAATCATTTTTTCACCGACAATATGGTAGCTGTGATGGGTGAGCTATTGACTAAAAATTTGTTGGATTTTTTTATCGAATTTCTGGAATCAATCAGCTGAGACTTTTTTTTTTATCAAATGTATATAGATTTATATTCTTCGTTTCCGGATGCTCAATTATTTCGTTATGTAAGGTCCTAGAATAATTTGTAGTACTACTATGTTATCTCACATATTTTTCGACAACTAATTGAATTATTCAATAGCACTTTATCTCCATAATTTTGATTCGCTTTTTGGTTCCAAAATAAGCATTTTGTTTGATCTGTACGTATTACGTAAATTGAATATATCGTTTCATTTATGAATCTAATACAAGCCTTCTTTTATTATATAGAACCACGGCCCTCTTCTGGAATAGCCTCCGTAAGCATATCAAGCATTTATTAGAAAACTTTTATTTCCTATAGCGTTTAAATAATCTATCATAATCAACCACCAAAGAGTACATCCTCTACGGGCCGCTTTTCCAGGGAGCCCCTTTAACTTTTACGTTTCCCTTCCATCCCAGCAAATATTGGATTCAATTCAACTGTATCACTTTTTATATTATCATGTCTGGTTCTATCGTCAGTGCATCATTATCTCAACTGGCCATCCATTTTTCGTGGAAGTTAAGGAATGAAATTATGTATTTAACGAATGATGCAGAGAAAGTGAATTGTGACCTGGAGAGTCTCGAGGAGACGAATGTTGATCATATGGAAAGCGGAGGAGGAAATAAAGATAATCGAAATTCTGTTGGTTGAATAACAAATGTTTTAAGTGTGGCTATTAGACTTTCGTCATAACTTCATTATAATACGCAATGCAGTTTTTTATTATTATACTGTTTAGGATGTAATATATTTGAATTTCTTAGCAGATCATATAGGTAGGGAAAAAGATCTAACAAGATGGAAAGTATAAATAGGTAAAAATAATAATGTAAAAAAAAACCGATTTGTATTAATATCATAGTTTTACACGCTGTGCATACTCCAAATATAATAAAGTTAAAGCTTAACTTTACACAAGTACTCAACTGTAACTTGTATCACGTGACTAAAGGAAAATACATGCTGGCAGAGTCAAAAACTACCTCAAGTGTTAAATGACATTACTAGTCACGGGACATTTCCCTTAATTAAGACTCAAAATGTTATTTTTATAATACAATTTATATTGTGTGTAACAACAACGAGAGGGAAATGTCCCTTAACTGTTACGTGAGACGAGTCACAATTTGATTTAGCGACAGACTCGCCGAACCGCCCCGCAAAAATAAGTGATACAGTATTTTATTTCTCATATACTTAATACTGTATGTATCATTTGATAACTAATCGGAGAAGTACAGTACTTTTAAACTTGAATTTTTTATTAACATTGTTAAATTGGTTTTTCCATTCCGAAAGCTATAATGGAATAAGTTGAGAGAATTATGTCGTTCATAAAATTCAATATGTTGCTATTCAACCAACGAATCAAAGCTTACTGTTGTCCAATAAGAACAGTCGAATGTTGTTACCTTTTGGGCTTCCACTTGATATCGGTATATTTCATAAAGTTTAGTGATTTTCGATCACTACGGATTAAATACAAATTAAGAAAATCGATCGAGCAACAGATTCATATTACAGTATACAGTATTACCTCCTGAAATACTTAATTCGTATTGCCGAGAGTCAAACTCTATGAAAAGAAACGAAAACAAACGAATGCATTATTAAGAACGAAAAGAGTTTATGATGGAAATTATAATACAGTAATCTTTTACCTAAAGTTAGGCTTTCATATTCATTCATGTTGGGAAATGTGTACAATTTACTAACTTGGTTAACAACTATCTTAGGAATGGGTGTTGTGGTGAGGTCATCTTCAAATATATCATTCTCGTCCTTTTCATTCATAGCTTTGTTTCTGAATAAATTCACGATTCCCGTTTTCAAACATTTGTGCTCAATGATACTTGATTTATGTAATTTCTTGAAAATTTCGTCAAGTTCTAAACATACTATTATTGCACTCGGTCGGCTGTCCTGGTTAGGATCCCAACATCGCCTCATCATCCGAACATATTCGGCCGGAATTTTTTCATGAATCTTGGGACGCATACCACTAATAATCGCCAAGGCCAAATCATAATTATGTTCCATATTAACAAATGGGATTTCTCCTGTGGCGATCTCCCACATTAAAATTCCCAGGCTGTATATATCCGATCTTATACTGTGTTGTTTTCCACGTAAAACTTCTGGGGCAATATATGGAAGATTTCCGTAGATGCTGTTCAACGGTTTGTCTAAGGGACCACAAAAACCCATGTCACTAATAAACCAGTTATCAGCACGAGCCTTGTATAAAATATTGCCGGAGTGCAGGTCTCGGTGGACAAATTTTTTTTCGTGAATTTTGCTAAGACTGTCAGCTATATTTCTGGAAATTCGGCATTTTTGAATCCAGGTCATCGACAAGCGGTTCTCTGCCAAATATCGCCGTAAATCGCAATTATAAGCACCTAACACGAGCATGTAGTCACCGCTTTGTAAATCCTTTGTTATTCCATAGCATTTCACTAGATATCGCGATGTGTTATCAAGGACAAATTGCGATCTAACCTGTATTATTCCATTAGAAAGGTTTTAAAATCCATTCTGTGAGATTGGATTTGTTAAAAAAACATTATCTGACAAACCTCTTGGTACCAGTTTCCATCTTTTGCAGAATTTCTCAATTTTTTTAATATGACTTTATGTCGACCAAATCTTTCCAAAGACTGTGTCTCGTGATTCCATTTAAAATAAGATCCAACTTTCCATATTGCCGTGTAGATCGTGGCGTATCCACCTTCCGTCTTATACACTATACTCTGAAATTGGTCGTAATCGATCCATTCTACGATGTAATCAGGTTGAACAGTCTTTTGTTGGCATTCTTGAATTAACACATCAATCTCATTATTTCCAGAAGACCAATTTCCAAAATTATTCTTCAAGTATTTTCGAATGCACAACTCACAGAAGTCCGTCGCTTGGCACCTACTATGACAATCACCGCATTGACGCTTTCTGCCTGATCTTTCGATTTTAACCAACTCGTAATGTTGTTGAAGCCGAACGAATAAACTTTGTTTTTCTGAATCTGTCAATGTAGGATCGTTCTCGAATTGACGACGAAGGTACTTTTTCTGACGGTTTATTTCTCCAAGTAGAAATCTATTAAATATATTACAGTTCAAAGAAGCAAATGCTCTTTGCCAAGCTTCATTTGTCTTTTCATTATATAGAATATCATGGGAAGACATTTCTAGATCAGAGAATTCGATTTAACAAGTTACGGCGAATCTTATTCAAAATATCCATATTTAAACAAAGCACGTATGTACACTGTCGGGAACTTGTTTAACAAATTTGGCTGTCTGCATAGGGTATAATACATTATGTCATTAAGTGCACATCGACCCCACAGGGGTCGTTATAATACTAAAGCGCGATTCTGTGTAACTATAAAACTTTAAAAATCTGAGAATACAAAGTCCGACATAAGGGGATTTAATTTTTATATGCGGATGATAGAATGGGGATATGCGGGAAATAAAATTTAAAATTTAATTTTAAACTTTTCATGAATTTCGGGTTTGATATTTTCTTTTTTTTTCGAATTCGGTTCTTTTTTTTTCGGGATCCGTGACTTTTTCTTTTTTTTTCGAATTCGGTTTTTTTTTTTTTCGGGATCCGTGATTTTTTCTTTTTTTTTTTTTTCGAATTTGGTACTTTTTTTTTCGGGATCCGTGACTTTTTCTTTTTTTTTTGTTTTTTTTTTTTTTTTTTTGGTTTCTTGGTTTTTTTTTTTTTTTTTTTTTTGTTTTTTTTTTTTTTTTTTTTTTTTGGTATCTTTGTTTTTTTTTTTTTTTTTTTTTTCGATTTTGGTTTTTTTTTTTTCGGGTTCCGTGATTTTTTTTTTTTTTTTCGAATTCGTTTTTTTTTTTCGGGATCCGTGATTTTTTCTTTTTTTTTTTTTCGAATTTGGTACTTTTTTTTTCGGGGTCCGTGACTTTTTTTTTTTTTTTCGTTTTCTGGTTTTTTTTTTTTGGTTTGGGTTTTTTTTTTTTTTTTTTTGTTGTTTTTTTGTTT